ACGGAGGTATCTATAATTATCTAAAAGGGGAAGGGAACAACCCAGGCGCCTTGGCAACAGTCCGACAACAGACGCTCGCAGCGGTTGCAACCGCTGGCCTGGTGCAAACCGTTTGTCAGCAGCGAAGGCGGACGCCAACGCGTTCGCAAACACGACCGGCCGCGCAGGAACTACGGTTGAAGGATACCACTGTGCTCCAACAACGCCAGAATTAGAAAAAAACAGCATTGCCCATCCATCGCCCGGCCTTCACATTGGCAAGTATCATGTTCGAGATGCTGGATCAAATTTCTTGCTGGCCCCGTTTCTCTGGTAACGCAGGGGGGGGGGATGGGGCGTCACGCGAAGTGACTCCTCAACGCTTGTTGCAAAGTGTTTCCCCACCCGACAGGGTGGGACTCTTAGATGTGTTTCGCAAAAAGAAAAATGGTTTGGTGGCCACTGGACCCTACAGGATCCCAGGAGTCCTTGCAGATCCCGTCTCGCGTCCTTGACGAATGACGACACAATGCCGCGGTCGCCAGAGCCCACAAGATCCAGGCGCAATCCCTGAGTGTCCCGCCCGGGTCCTCGAGGAATGGCGACACCCCGCATTCCAGACAGCCCCGAGGGGGAGGCGTCACGGGGTCACGGCGTCCAGGCGCCACTTGACATGAGCAAAGAAGATGCACATACTATAGCATAGCAGAGCATACCATTGTATAGTTAGCAGAACCTCTCATAACATGACATCAGATCTTACATCATAACATCACAAGCCAACTCATACGATGACAGAGCGCATCATACCAGAGCACCACATGGATCATACCTATGAGCACCTACCTAGACCAGGTCAGAATACTGCTGCCACGGTGACAGCGGATACGATATACCATGCAATACTGAAGCACAATCAAAAATAGTCTCAATCACGCATCAGGTCGCCACAACATAATGCCATGACATGCAACAACATGCCATATCATAACACATCAGGGTATATCATAGCACGCACTGGCATAGCATAATAGAAATACGAAGCACAGCATGGCCTATCCTGCCCCATGCTATAACACTTCGTTCTGTGGCAGGACAAGGCATAGCCGAGCATAACCAGACATATGATAACATAATACATCATACCAGCATTGTGCTGTAACCACTAGGGCAACGAACCTCATCTGATATAACACAATACCCGCTACCGTGCCCTGCGGCGTGAGTTGTAGTGTCCTCAGGTCCTTCGCCTAATCCTTTAAGCCTCAGTCCTCGACGCTGCAGATTCTTTGCGGGGCAAGAACCCCAGAAGACCAAATCTCCCGGGGCCTGTCGCGTGCCACCCGGGCCTCCCGGCGTCTTCCCATGCGACTCTCTCGGCCAAGACGACCCGAAAAGGCCCCCAAGACATTCCAAGAGGGCCCCGCATCGCCGAACGATCGGTCCAAGACGCCCAAGGTGGCTCCGTGTCGGCCGAAACACATCCAAGACGCCCCAAGAGGCCTCCAAGAGCACTCTCAAGAGGGCTCCAAGAAGCGAAACTCATGAATCCCCCTAAGTGGTTCAATGCTGCGCGGGTTCTCGTCTTTTCGAGCTTTCGACGCTCCAAAACGTCCCACGAAGCCCCCCAGACCGCCCCAAGACGGACGCCCAAAGAGGGCGCCAAGACGGTCCAACAAGAGGCGCACAAGATGGGCCAAAGACGGCCCTAGAGGGCCCCAAGACTGCCCAAAGAGATAGAACACGAACAGGAAGTCCGAGACTTCCGCCGCAAGAGGCCCCCAAGAGGCCCCGGCGAGACCCCCAAGAGGCCACAAAAAGGCCCCCAGCCTCTCCAAAGAGGCCCCAAGAGTCCCCCAAACAGCCCCCCAGAGGCCTCAAAACTGTGTTCGGGAGGTCCCCGAGAGACCTCGACGAGATCCCAACGAACATCCAAGATGGCTCAGACCAGGGCCGAGCCCATCCCCACCTAACGTTGGCCCTGATCCTGACGCCAAGTGCTGCCGTAATAACTTCAATTTGTGACGCCCAACATGGGTACGGAAAACATGGGTACGATGCCCACTAACAAATGTTGTCCAAAACCGACAGCGACCGCTGCTGGGCAGGCGACTTTCTGTCTCAACTGGACCACGCCCGCGTCAGCACCGACAGCGAGCTCTGTTCAAAATGGAATGGAACTTCTGTCGGTCTTCGTACCAATTCTTGTCGTACCCATTTCGATCGTACCAAATGACCAGACGCAATCTGAAATTTGACGCGAGCTCCTGCTGCAAACATCCCACGAAGACTGGACCATCAGAACCCAAGACGGGCCGTCTAAAAGCGTCGGCAAACCCGAGTTCCAGCGAACTCGAGTCTTACGTTCCCCCGATCAGTGGGGATCCCCCAATACCCTGATAGAGGCCTCCCAGGTGGGGTCCGAATAGATGGGGTCGGAAGATCGCGCCGCATCGCCGGTGCATTGACGATGCATCGGCGATGTGTCGGCGACGCCAGCGTGGATAAAATGGGGCTCCACATCGAGCCGCACCGCCGATGCATCGCCGGTGCGTCGGCGATGCGGCGCGATCCTCTGGCCCCACCTGCTCGGACCCTTCTCGTTGGGCAACCAAGCGGTACCGATGCAGCTACTCCCCGGACCTCTCCTGGGCTGCGTTCCGACCCGAAGCTCGAAGCGAAGCCAGCGCTGCCGACGAGGGCCTCCCACGAGGCCAGGAGGCCCAGAAAGGGGAAAGCGAGGCAAGGGTGTAGGGGTACCAATACCCGTCGGTCGGAAGCGGGTAGAAACATGGAGTAGGGAGACGGGGAATTGCGCCCGCCCCCTGAGGAGTGGGGAAGAGGGACAACCGCTAGACTCTTGCAGTAGGGAAAGTAGACTGGGATCTGGGAATCCAGAAATGCCGAAGGTCGGACCGAGGTATACGACCGAGGTCGGTTTGGGGAGGGTACCAGAATATGATTCGTGCTTGTTGCATGTTTTTGTGCCTCCTGGGGGAGGGCATCCTCGAAAGACTTTATTGCTCTGGGTGTTTTGACAGGCGGAAGGTCTAATGTTCTTAAAGGGTGTCATTATGTCCGAGATCCAGCCGCAAACGTCGGTCGGAAGAAGTGTCTAAAACATGAAGTAGGAAGGCGGATACAATAGATCGGGCTCAGGCCCTCCCAGAGAATAACAGAAAACCACAAATAGTAGGGCGCTCGAAGCAGAGTAGGGCGCTCGAAGCAGATTGGGATCTGGGAGCCCACAAATACCTACTCCCCACGACCGACGAGCACTTCCCACAACAAGCGTACATGTTTCTCCTCTGCTAAGATGACCGCTTGGGTTGCTGAGGGGATCGCGGTCTCAGAAGCGGATTCTGAGGTGGGTAATATCGTGCCTGGCCTGGCTTCTATAGGGGGCAAACAAACCTACCTCGCTTTTGACCACCCTCGCTTCCAAGAGATACCAAACGATGCCAAACTACGGCCTGTACTGGTCAGGCCGCTTGACGAGGAGGCGCGTGGTATGACTTGGTTTTGCCTGGAAGCGAAAGCGGGGTAGGTAATTCACGCTCTGATTCTAGGTAGCTTGCAAATGCCCTAAGTGGCTTAAGAGGGTAACGATCTAGGCTGAGTGGGCCCCGCCCCTTCGCGGAGTCAGATATACCCCCTGAACCATGTGTGGCACCTGCAACACACCTATTCGATAGGTTGCCCCAGACATAGCCCACGGAAGCATCCACCTCTGACCCCCTTCTCTCCTTGGCAACCGCCGTCCCCCTAGGCATAGAAGAACCGACGGCGTGCACATACACTTTTGGCGCTCCGCGCGGATTTCTTCGATCCGCGCTGGACCTCCCTCCCTGGCGCGCGGAGCGCGCCAGGGGCAGCGCCGGAGGCGCCGCCAGGGGGCCCCGCGCGGATCCAAGACATCGGCGCGGAGCGCCAACAGTTTATGTTTATGGCGTCTTTTCTTTCTTCGATCGCAACCCTGGCGGCGCGCACAAGTGGGTGGAGGGAGGGGGGAGGGTTTCTTAGAAGGAGGCTGCCTCTTAGAAGGCGCCGGCCTTACATCTATAGATGAGGCCCGCGCCTTCTAAGAAGCAGGGGTGCTTCTAAGAAGCCCTCCCCCCTCCCCCCACCCCCTCTGCGCGTGGCCGACAACCGCTGTCCCCCTCAGCAACCGCCGCGGTCATCTCCGCGGGAGGCCCGCAAAAAAAAAACCTATGGCAGCGAGAGGCGAAGGACGAGCTGGAGGTGGAGGTGGGGGGGAGCATGAAGAGGAGGAGGAGGAGGAGGAGGAGGAGGAGGAGGAGGAGGAGGAGGAGGAAGATGAGGCAGACGGGGAGGGAGGGGGAGGCGGAGGGGAAGGAGGAGGAGGAGGAGGAGGAGGAGGAGGAGGAATAACAAAATCACGGATATTGCGACCATGCGGGTTACGTATAAACTTATAAGGAACGAGCCGCTCTTCTGGCCTTGTCAGCTTGGCTGTAAGCTTTAGGCCAGATCCCCCGCTCGATATTGCTCAAGTAATCAGCACGAGTACCTGCAGGCCTGCCTTCGCATCTCCTTCCGAGTTAGGCCAACTGTTGGGCCGCAAAACATCCGCAGGTGCCGCAGAACCAAATCCCCAGCCCAGCGTGAAATTGTAAAGTGTGAGTTGCATCAGCCCACCCCCCATAGATGTGCACCCTGCAACGGGGGGGCGGCCTGAAAATTACGCCATCTATAGCCCTCAGGTCAAAGCATGGGGAATCCAACCAATTATTTCGCCTAGCTTTGTCTGAAGTGCTCCTACATTTCAGACAAAAGAGCTTGCTATCAGATAGCGTGTGCACTGTGGAAAACTTCCTGGAGGAGGAGGAGGAGGAGGGGGAGGAGGAGGAGGAGGAGGAGGAGGAGGAGGAGGAGGAGGAGGAGAAGGAGAGGAGGAGGAGGAGGAGGGGGGGGGGGAGGAGGAGGGGAGTGGGCCGCGGGAGGCCTGCAACAAAAAGCCCGAGGCAGCGAGAGGCGGGCTCCCCCCCCCCCCCACGCGCCTCCGCGAGGCGACCGCGCTCCCCGCTCCCCAGCGCCTCCCGCAGCTCGCGCGCGTGCGCCTCGCCGCCGCGGGGGCGCGGGGCGTCCGCCACCCCCCGCGGGGGGCGCGGCGCGACGACGTCGGCGCTGGCGTCCAGCACCGCGTGGGCCGCTGGAGCGTTCGAGGATCCAGGACCGAGGAGGAGGATCGAGGAGGAGGAGGAGGAGGAGGCGGAGGAGGAGGAGGAGAAGGAGGAGGGTGGGGAGGAGGAGAAGGAGAAGGAGGAGGAGGAGGAGGAGGTGGGGTGAGGAGGAGGAGCGAGGAGGAGGAGGAGAAGGATCGCGGGGCAGCGACAGGGTAGGATAGCAAAGGGCAGGGCAGAGGAGCAGCTCACGCAGCTGGAACTCCTGGCGCCTCCTGGCGCCAGGAGGCGCCCATGCATCGAGGAGTGGGCCCGGCGGTGGGGCGAAAGCCAGCTGCATGCAGCAGATGTCGTAACTCCCGATTTCGTAACTCCCTTTCGTGCGGCCCGAGCACCCCCCCCCGCGACCTCTGGGGCCCCTGGCGCGAGTGATCCCCTCCCGCCGCCTTAACTTGGCGGTGAGCTAGGGGGGGAGGTGAAAAAGAGAAGGCCTTCTAAGGAGGCGGCGGGGCTTCTCAGAAGCCCTGCGACCTTCTGAGAAAGTCTCTGCTTCTTCGGGAAAGGCTTCGAAAACCTCTGAGAATGCCCGGAGACTTCCAAGCCTTCTGGCAAGGCCCGCCCATTCTCGCTTCCCCCTAGGCTTGCCGCCGCCTCAACCAGCCTCGAACGTATCCCGATGCCTAGGATTAACAATCTTGGGAAAGCGCCCTCAGAAACTGAGGCAATCCCTGAGATCGGCATCCAAATGCGGCAACACCAAACATAGGGACGGGGATCTCTTTTCAGCCCGGTAGCGCCTCTCTCTTCGGCGGCGAGATTGGGTGGGGGGCGTGGACAGGGGGCGGGCCTTCTCATAAAGCTCGAAGGCATCCGGCATTCTGACATGTGTTCAATGCATATGTATATACAGTATATCGAACAAGGAATGCAGCAGGCAATACACTAGACAATACGTCATGCACTGCATAATAACACATCATACTGCAAAATATTGTATTCGGGTATGCGGCAGTACAATCTATAGCATGTTCGACTATTATATCGTACGCTGGAATGTACTGTAGTATGGTCATTACAACATGATAAACGATACGTTTGTCTAACACAATGTGGTGCACTGTGTTCTGGTATAGCATACACCATATGACATGATACCATACTATAGTATACTAGTGCAATGCATACTATGTGATAACATTATATACCATAGAACAGCATGCTGGTCGGTCTCTTAACACTCCATGAATATAGTATAACGAATATCGTATGCAGCCAATTAGAACAAACTGGCATGTGTTAACGTAACGTAAAGTACAATGTTTGGTGAAACGCACGTGGGTAGTTTATTAATGTGAGCTAAAAGGTAAACTAGAATGCAATGTGAAAGGTTGGTATTCTATGGGGTAACGTACTGTACTATATCGTAATACATACTCGCATACTATGTACTACTAGTATGGTGTATGGTATATACGACATGACATACTCGCATGTATTTGAACAGTGCGGCACAACTTTATGTAACTACAACATGTATGTGTATGCTACACACATATACCTATATGCCCGAAGCCTTCCCTGAAGACGCAAGAGCCTTCTCAAAGGCCAGAGGGCGTCTGAGGAACCCCGCCGCCTTTCGAGAGGGACTGCTCCTTCTCACTTCCCCACCCGACACGCCGCCGATCTTTGTAAGACAAAGGAAAGATTCTTGCCACCAAAATGTTCATTGCCTCAAACAAATATTTGGCGGCGGTGCCACCTCAAATGCCACGGACGCGAAATATTGAAACTGATGATCTTGATCTGACCCCAAGGAGCCCGAAGATAAAGCGTCTCTTTTCTCGAGAAAGCGTTTGGATGAATTTAGTGATCGCGCCTCCTGACGGTCTGAGAGGGCCCAAGAAGCCGAACGCGCCCCAAGAAGCCTCCAAATCGAACTCATGAAGGCCCAAAAACGGCCCAAGAGACCTCCAAGACGACCGTGAAGCGCTGAAAAAGGCCACCGACGGCCCAGAAAGCCCCCAAAAACGGCCTCTGAAGGCATCAAACGGGCCAATAGCCTCCTAAGACGGGCCAGGTCCCCAAGCAGCCCCGAGAGGCTCCCAAGAGACCCCCAGGAGACCCCCAAGCGGGCCCCGAGAGGCCTCCAACGGACATCATCATCTTCCGTCCGTGTCCTCCTTGTTGTACGCATTGTTGCACGCATAGGTCTAAAGGCCAAACGAGGCTCGGCGACAGAAACAACTATGGAGAGGGATAGCGAAGGAAGCACCTCCTTCCTCTCCTCCTTCTCCTCCTCTCCCTCCTCGTCCTACTCCCCCGCTCCCTCTCTCAAGTGTTCCCCAAATGACTTCCACAATTGCTCGGGTAACACATCTTCCAGATTTCGCAAGAAAGGGGGGAGTCTGATTTGGGAGGTGGTCTGATTTGAGCAGTCTTGGAGGGCTCCGGGGGGTCTGGGCAAAATACAGCCCTTTCATGGCTGGTCTGGGTTGGGGGGTCTACAACTGCTCGTCTGAGACGGTTGTGACCTCCTCCCTTTCATTACAAAACGCTGGATCATCCAGTAGCTTGGCCAAGCGCTGGCCCAACGTTTGCCCACATGGGCGCCTTCCAGGCGGCCCTGGCTCGCCACAGGTGTCTTCGATGACCATTCCAAAGCGGGCCGGAGGTTACCCTTCACCGATGTTGGGGGACGGTCGGACCTGGGACAGAGGAACGTCTGTCAAGAACATGAGGCCATCCGCCCGCCAAAGCACACAGAACATCCAAGGGCACCCTTCTACAGGATGCACAAGAACATCCAACTAACTAGGAGAGCTCTAGGGCACCCTCCCCGAAGCAACCTCGATCGTATACCTCGGCCCGACCGTACCACGGGTGGTGGCACGGCAACCGTACCGCAGGTGGCTTTGGCAAGAGCTGTCAGCACGAACGACTGCGCCAGATGCCTTGTGTCCCTATCTCTGTCCGTGTGTACCACCTATACGGTCTGGGCATTGAATAAGGAACCCCTAGATAAGAAATCCAGGGTCTGGAAGCCGGTGGAACTCCAATCGTAGATCGGCCATGGATACCACCGTCGCCTTCAATGGATAAGGAATCCTCCAGGGTCTGGCGCCTCCTGGGACTACTCCTGAACAAACGCCTGCAACGTACCCGTTTATGGTGTAGGTGTGTCTTACCTCTGTCTCTTCCCCACCTCTGAGCTCGGACTGCGGCTGGCACCATGGCGAGAGCACAAGGCTGCAGTGGGAACTCTTCCCCCGTGGCCTTCTCTCCCACACGCACGCTCGCCCCGTGCGACGAGCGGCCGGACGAGACGGTCGTACTCGACAGCCTGACGACTCCGCGCAGCAGGGACAGCTTCCTCGCGCTACTCGCGCCGCTGGCCAGCGACGAGGCGACGAGGCGACCAGGCGGGAGTCCACTAGGAGGCACATGCAGGGCGGGAACGTGGGAGTTGGGAATGTGGACAGCCGCTGGGCGGCAGCATCCAGAACCCCGAGGCGAGAACGTGGCCAACGCTGGCGCTGGAACGTCAGTGTGGGCCGAAGTGGGGCAGGCGCCGGGTCGGAAGCAGCATGCCGAGCTGAGACTGTCGCCAAGGGCAGCAGCGAGAGTGCCGCTCCGAGCCAGAAGTGCGCCCAGGGCCATGGCGAACCACCACAACAAGTGAGAGGATACTTGGGGGGAGGGAGGGGAAAGAGAAGCGGTGGGGACAACGGGAGGATGAGGCAGATGGGGTGGGGGGCCGTGGAGATGATGAGGGGCGGGGGGGAGAAGGAGGGAGAGCAGGGGCGCATGGGAAGGGGCGGATGGGGGAGGGGAGGAGCAGGGCAGGGGCGGGGATTGGAGAAGGGCGGGGATGGCGAGAGGGGGGGAAGAATATATGCTGGCGGAGCAGAGGGGGCGGCGAGCAAGGAGGAGACAGCGGGGAGGGTGGGGGGAAGAGACCCAAATGATTCAGCTTGTCGGTGCCCTCCAGGGGGGCGAGGGGTCCCTAGTTACCAGTTCCAGCCTAGCCGCCATCGGCTCACCCAGGCGGCCCCTCCCCCCTACGGCAGGCCCGGCTCCCCCCCCTCCTCTCCGAAGCAGGGCTGCGACTCTACAGCCCGCGTGTGGCCACACACACACACATATCACATCACATGTCCAGTTTCGCAGTCGAGGTCAGCCGTGCTGGGCAGCGCGCACCTCTCATGGTGGATGTGCTGCCCTACCCCGTCGGGGAGTCAGACAACAAGCTGGCAGTGGGCAGGCAGGTTTCCGCTGGTGCTCCAGGCTGCTTGCGACGCCGCCGTAGGGAGGGCCACTTGGGCCTCCACGGGCGGGTGGGACCACGTGCTGCACAGCGCTTCGCCGCAACTTCGGCGGCTTTCCGAGGCCGCGGTGCTGCTGTCGTCCGCCCAGTGCTCGCGCCGCCTGCTTTCGGGGGCTTGGCCACGCGCGCCGTGCGACGTGAGCTGTTTTGGACTGTCCGCGGGCTGCTGTTCGTTGTTGCAGGACACGCGGCCGGACGCGTGCAGGCTCGCACCCCAGGGGAGCGGGCGGGGCCAGCGCCCCGCCCCGCCACGTCCGACCAGTCAGCTTGGCATTGCTCGCGGAGTTCGAGGCAGCGGCGCCGGAACCAGCATGGGAAGCGCGGCGGGTGACTCTTCGGAAATACGTGGCGCTGCGCGAGTCGGACCCGGGGAGCGCGGATAGGCTCATGCCAACATAGATCACAAGGCTTGGCGTCTTTCAGCGTGGCTTTGGAGGGCAAAGACATCGAGAAAGGTCTAGTCCAAAGCAAGCATGGTGCAGGAGCTCATGTCGGATCTGCGTTGGGTGCACCCAGAACAGCTTTAGGATCCCCAGGCCGCAAAGCGTTTCGCAAGGCAGGTGTCCAGGCGGAGCCTCTCGGCCCCCCCGCGGGGCCACCCCTGGGCCGGGGT